CTAATGTAAAAGCCACGTAGATTGTATTTTTCATTGGCTTGGGGGACGTACCTCTCTTCAAACACTGCCTCTGAGCTCCAGCGGGTGGTGACCTGGTCTCGCAGCCATCAATCACCCTCTGAAGGGAATAAAGAATGCTACTTACTTATTGGAACATATAACACCAATTTCCCTAATCCCCAGTGCTCCTTGCAGAATTGTAACATTTATATATCAGATTGATTTTTATGTCAAACCATGTCAAAAAGGCTCTATGTCTATGTACCTCAAGGCCATGGCCATCAGTCAGATTATAAAATGGGAAGGAAATAAATGCTCACAACAATGACCTCCTTCCTTCCTCTGATGAAATGTAGCTATGGGGAGTGAGCAGTGAATGTTAGGGACCTGTGGCCGTGTTCCAGGCATTGTTGCCTTCTGAAGTTCGTGTCATGGAAGCCCAAGAGGGGAAGGGAGAAAGAAACTTCAAAAGGAAGAATTGATAAATCATGTTTTATCCTTCAGAGACAACCAGCTACCCTAAAACTAAGGGTTCTCAGAATTTGGCAAGCTAGAGGTTAGGAATGGCCTCTCAGAGATCAGAGTTGGTGACCCGGCCAGGCTTTGCTTGCCCGGGGTTGGGGGGTTGCGGGGCTTCATTTTGGTTGCTTCTTGAGGGTTTTCAGGAGGAGAGGGGCCGGAAGGGCTCTAGAGAAACCTGTATCTGGAGAGGAATTGCTTTGATTTTAGTTTCTGAAAGGAAGTAGCTCAGACTTATTTATAGGTTGAGTCTGGGAAGGTATTTGAATCTGTGGAGATTGTGGGAATGAGAAAAGAAAATGAAGAGACCTCTGATAGGCAAAGATGAGGGGGAATGACCGTAGGAAGGCTCAGGGTGGGAGCGGGTGAGATAGATCAAGTTCTGAGAAGTTTGGACTGAATAGGCTTACAAGATGGCAGAAGGCAAGATCCTGAAGTCCATGGAATCATAGGATTAGGGACGACTCTGAGATGAACAGCTGTCAAGAGGCTTGGTGAGACACTGAAAGCACAAGCAACAAAAGAAAAATTAGATAATTTGAACTTAATCAAAATCGGAAACTTTGATCTATCAAAGGACATTATCACGAAAGTGGAAAAACAACTAATGCAAGAGAAAAATTGTTTTCAGATTATATATATATCTGGTGAAGGTCTAAGTATCCAGAATATATAAAGAACTCTTACAACTCAACAACGACAAAGAACCCAATTTAAAAATGGGCCAAGGACTTGAATACCTATTTCTCCAAAGAAGATACACAAATGCCAACAAGTTCATAAAATGATGATGAATATCACTAGCATTATTAGCCATTAGCGATCAGGGGAACACAAAACAAAAATTACTAGCTATCAGTTTATATGCAATAGGATGCCATAGTAATAGAAAAATGGAAAATAACAAGTGTTGATGAGGATGTGGAAAAAGTGGAACTCTCACACAGTTCTTGTGGGACTGTAGAATGGTGCATCCAATGACAAATACAAAATTTAAAATTTCTTCAACAAGGTGAGCATAGAAATACCATATGATCCAGCAATGCCAAACCTAGACATATACCTAAAAGAATCTAAAAAAGGTACTCAAAAACTCATTTGTAAATACTTATAGCAGCACTATTCACCATAGCTGAAAGGTGGAGAAAAACCAAATGTCCACTGATGGATTAAAAAATGTGACATATACAATAATGGAATATCACTCAGCCATTGCACAAACTTAGCATGTGCAAGGACCTTGGTTTAATCCTCAGCATGAAAAAACAAGCAAATAACCCACTCCCCCCCAAACCTTCACCGTTTAAAAAGGCCATGGATTTCTTGTTCCTTCTTCCGCCTTGGTTGCTTTTTAAAGAATTAGACTCTGTGAAAGACGGTAGATACAAAATCATCACGTATTGAGTGTTTCCATTTATATGAAATATCTATAGTAGGCAAATCCATTGAGTCAGAGACCAAGTTGGAGGTTGCTGGGGATTGTGGGGAGGAAGGTATGGGGAGTGACTGCTTCATGATTTCTTTGGGAGTGATGAAATACTTTGGAAGTAGCTAGGTGAGATAGCTGTGCTATGTGGAAAATGTACTAAATGCCACTAAATTGTTAACTTTAAAATGGCTAATTTTAAGTATTTTGACTTTTTTCTTAATATATAGAAAAAGGGTTGTGTGGTCAATGCGCCTGGTCCCCTCGTGCTTCCAGAATCCACCACCCCCAGCGATGGAAACCCTTTGGTAAATCACCCGCCCCTGCTGTAGTCCGTGGGGGCTGTGGTTTTCTTTTAGTCTAGTCTCTCTCTTTCCCATTTTGTAGGATGCCAAGAAATTTCTCTACCATTGAAGTCTTTCTTTTCTTGTATTCAAGAATTATAAGTTAAAAATATGATTTGGGGGGCTTGGGTTGTGGCTCAGAGGTAGAATGCTTGTCTACCATCCGTGAGGCACTGGGTTCAATCCTCAGCACCACATAAAAATAAAATAAAGATATTGTGTCCACCTATAACTAAAAAAATTAGAAAAAAATATGATTTTGGGACTTTTTAGAGACTTGGAGTAAGAAAGGCAGGCGATAAGAAAGGGAGGCGGTAGCGTGCACTTTTTTTCTTGAATAAGAAATCTCAAATGTCGCCATTAGACGACTTCACCTCCTTTGGTGCAAGCCTCTTTCTAAGAATGCAATTTTTTTTCTCAGCTAGTGTTTGTCTCTAAAATGAGTTAACTGCTTTCTAATGAAATGTCTAGCATATATTCTCTCAGCAATTTCTCCCCTTAGAATGAGCCTCTCATCTTTTTGTTATGACCCAATGTCTTAATTAACCAGCTTCTTCAGAATAGGGTTCCTAAGGGGTATAGTTTAGAATAAACCAGAGACAACTGAACTGTAGGAGACACATAATGAGTAATAAATAAAAATGAGTTCCATAAAATGTTTTCCTACAGTGAGATGGGATTTCATATCTGAATATAAAGAAATGACTTTAACTCCCTACTGTATCCATATTTCCTATAGCACATCATATTTTTTTGCATTTTTATTGAAAGGTCCTGGAGTTGGGAAAGAATAGGGACCTACACATGTCTTTTTCCCTACTTGTGTCTAGGATGTTAGTCTCCACATCTTGGTCTTGAAAAGGCAATGATAAGAGTTATTTGACCCTAACATCCAGTTGGATCTTATGTCTACAGTATTCACAGTTCTGACCACTTGCTTGCAATCCTAAAGTTTAAAAATCATCACAGGAACTCCACAGAAGTTTTTTGAGACTCAGTGATTTGGTGCATGGAAAGTACACCATTGAGCAGGGACTGAATCAGGTGAGCCTCGAGGCTGGTGAGAAGTGACATATTATGCCACTGGTGAGTGTCCCCACCTGACTGTCCAGCATCTCCCTCTTGGTCATTGTTAACTTTGGAGTTCCTAGGGCACAGGGGTTGAGGGAACTGGACTCAGACAACTTGGCCTAGAGTCTCACCCTGGGTCTATTACCACAAACATGCCACATCCCTTCTCCCTTTCCATTTCTGTAAAAAAGTGATAATAATAATGCCTTGTTCATAGGACTATGATAAAAACTGAAAAGAAAAACACACAGAAAACACATAATAGTGTTGGAAAACACTCAATGTTTAATAAATAATAAGGATTGTTTTTGAGATTGTGGGTTTGCAAAACTCTATAATTATATCCCTGAAGGATGTCTAGGTTAAAAGTATTTCCCACAATTTTGTGTTGGCATAGTAACAATAGCACTGTCTCAGGTACTAGGCTCCACGATATTTGATCTATTATAGGTGATAAACTCCTACCTCCCTTTGGTCTCTTTTGAATGATTCAGGGATAGGAAATATCTGGCATGTGTGCTGCTGATACTTCTTCCTTCCCCTACCAATGACAGCCATTGCTAATCAATTTCAATTGCTAATCAATTTAATTTCTTTCCAACTGAGACCAGACAAGGTCTCTGAATTCTCAACACAGTCAGGACAGTGTTGTTAATTAGGGTCAGCTCATGAGAGGTAAA